CCTAGTAAAGGCTCAACGCTACTTCTATGAGAAGCAGGTCCACAGGGAGCGCAGCTCTTCCCCGTTCAAGTCTCTAAATAGAAAATAAAAGTGCTTGGTGAGAATGGGGACCGACCGAAATCTCTCAGGGAAAATGCAGTTTGGGAACCCAGGCAGGCTGTGGCCTCTGTTCGGTAGACCCGCGAGGTCAGCGGGTTGGAATTGTCAACTCTCCATGCCGAGTTGAAAGGGGCCATCGGACGACCCGCTGCCCCCTCCCCCGGGATTCCACAGGCCCTGACCCGGCCTTTATCTCAGCGCGGTCAGCAGTCGCGGGGGCTTCAGGAAAGAGGACAAAGGCCCCGTGTCACCACGGGCGGGGGCGGTTTCCTGACTCTCTGCTCACTCTAACACCCGTTAGTGGTAGTTGGGAAAGATTTTTCAAAAATACGTGGAGAATTTCCTTTTTTTCCCCCCACTTCTAGAAGCAAAGGACAAAAAATAAATGGCCAATGCTCCTTCACCCTAGCCCACAGGGACGAAAGTTTCCTGGACCCCCGCTCGTTCCTTTTGTTTGCCTGACCAATGCTCATCTTTTACATAGATGGGAATCCAGAGAAAGGCTTGCGTCGTTTGATGTGCTAGTAGTATTACCAAGACAGCTAATCAGGCTGTGGTCTCAGTTTGGTCTCCCTCCGTGCCTGGGGTCAGATTGCGGCAGCCCGGCTGCGGGCTTTCCGGCCCTCCTTACAGTACAGACTACCTTAGGCTCAGACCCTTCCTGTCTAATTATTTCATTCCTCCATCCCCAAAATATATATAGGGATAGCTGGAGAGTTTCAGCCCAAGCCAGAGGGTCTGAGCTTGCTGGCTGCCGGCAAGAGGGTGTCTGCGTCCCTGGAGGCTCAGGGCTTTCCCCTCCCACCCCCAGCAGCTGGTCCCGCACTACCTCGGCTCCGCCTCCGTAGCAGCCCGTCTTCCACTGACTCTCACTCAGCTCAGCCCGCATCCTGCGGTTGCCCCGCTTCCCTGTTTCTACCCAAAGGCCCAGAGAGCCTCACCCACAGACTAACACTCCCCCATCTCCCACAGAGAGTGGACACTTTCTGCTGTTCTGAAAAGGGTAAAGAAAAACCCAAACTATCCTATCAGTGAGGAGGGTGACCTATGGGCAAAGCGTCTTTCTCAGGGAAAACCTCGAATAGCAGAGAAAATAGCCTTGAAAGAAGCAATAGGGAGGTTTTCAGGGTAAGTCCAAGAGTTTGTCATCTGTGTCCTTGGGGGTCAAGTGTTCAGTGACATGCGTGTCTCGTTCCTGATGTCAATGGATGGGTAAGGCACTCCCCATTAGCTGTGCCTGAAACCTGGTAGGTGCTGGCTTGTCTGGGTTCCTGGGGTGCCCGCGGTGGCCTGGAAATGAAAGCTGGTGCGACCCTTTGGTAAAGGCTTGGCCCTTCTCTTCATCCCGTCTTCTATGAATAGGTAACTTAGTCAACAATAAACTAGGCATTTTGAGTTGGAATATTTAACTATTGTAACCACACTGGTAGATCTCTGTTCTATAGATGAGAGAACTGAAGTTTGGAATTAACAGGACACCTGGCTTCCTCTCCGGTTCTTCCCAGTGTACAGACTCCTATTTGTGTCTCATCCTGCATGAGCAAGCTTTCTGGGGTAACAAGGACTAAGAACAAGGTGTCACAGCTTCATCTCAAGCCAGAACTTGGGCCACAAACCACAGTTCCTGCTGAATGGTCTGCCTAAACTCACACTCAGGACTGCACTCTGTCTCAGAACCTAGTGACTCACAGAGCCAGGTGGCAGCTAGTGTCACCTGCTCTCAAGTCTCCTCTGAGGATTTCTGAGACTGGTAACATGCAGCTGGCCACTTCTTTGGTCAGATCTTCAAGCAGTCAATTGTGTGATCTTGGTTCCTGGGACCCAGACACTCCTTTGGTACCACTTGGAACCCTCTCTGTCCAGAAAGTACCCAGTCATTGACCCTCTTGGTTTGAAGAACCATTGGGGCAGAAGGCAGGGCATAAATACTGCTCCCGTCAGCTCCTTGCCCCTGATCCCTATCCTACCCTATGACAGAGAAGTTCTGGTTCCCAATTTCAACCCTTCCTACAGGTTCCATGGGCTACTCTGAGGGCGCTGCCATACAGTGGTGACACAGCCAACAGGACATAGTTAACTCCTATTTAAATAAAGCGGGGATACTTTGGGAATATTGACCAAATCACTTCCTGGCATTAGGACCCCTTTTGGGAGGGGGCTAAGATTTTGAATCAGCAGTTGGAAAGCTCCAGGCCTTCACCAAAGTACTTTCCAATGAAGCCTGGATTTGCACCCCCAGTTTCTACCCACCACCAGGGGGCTCCACATGGCTGATTTTTCAGTCTTGGCTTGCAAAAGACAATGAAAAGGCTGAATGCCTCTAACTTCAGGTGAAAGATCCTGGGCAGCTTGCCCATCAAGCAAGGCTATAGAGCTGAGAGCACTCTACTGATGCCCAAGAGAAAACACCCCTCCAGTCTCTGGAGAGGAATGTGGAATTATGTTAATGATTACTTAACCCCCCCTTCCCACAGTTCATTATATCTCTTGCATTGGCAAAAAATGTCTCCCTAGTCCCATTAGAGAATTGGATATCCCTCCACCAATCCACGTACTTTGGGCTCCTAGGGAAAGCAAAGGTAACTGTAAGAATCTGGGTGTAAAAGTGAGAAAATGCTGCATTCTGTCAGTGTTTAGGGCTATTTACCCTGCCTCACTGACACATACGTATTGCTCATAGACACCCACACCCACACACCATGCATCACGTTTAACGACTCATTGCCCAGAACCTCCAGAAATTGGCAGGATATTTGTATCAAACTCTATTTATGTCACATTTATAGAGCACACTACAAACATATATGCACATACTAACACAGGCTACTAGCTCTCCAAGTCAGACTGTGTATTTGAAGGCATAACCATTCTGTGTCAGGGACTCTCTTAAATACCTTTGCTCTCACTTCGGAAGTTATCTGAGTCAGATTCTCTAACAAACTCAAAAGAGCAAAGAGGGAGAAAAGAGAAAGGAAATTTGAGATGAACAAGGTCTGTTGTCCCCAACTAGGGAAAACAACCAAATTTTAGCACTTTGGAGAATCCCTTAGGGCTGGAATTAGAGACAGATGTCTTTCTGGAGTCATCCATGGGGAAGTGGCTCCCTTCTCTTACCTCCTCCAACCACGGTGCAGATTCTGGGAAACCCCCAGTAATTCCTTCATCTAATTTTCCTTTCTTGGCAAAGCCTTCCCAGTTGTGGATGCCTCTTGCTGGTTAGTTCTTGGATGCAGCGAGAGGTTCTTCAGGGCAGGCTCTGCTCAGCTTCTCCATTTCACCGGAGGTGAGCAATGACTTGTCCACCAAGAGCCCTGCCTCGCAAAGCTGTCCCCCTGTTTTCTGCTCTGGATAGCAGCTTGAAGTGGTGCTGATGACTAGTCCTGGAGCAGGGAGCCTCTGCCAGGTGAAGTGATGGGTGTACATACTTTGCTATCATTCAGCAAGCCAGAAACACATCCAGAACACAACCGCCTCCATCAGCATGAGGTATGAATGCAGCACATACCGTGGTCTAGTAAGCAGTCTCTAATGTTAGTCATATGGTTATTACAGTGTCCTAAATATGTCATTTACCACCTCTCTCTGCAGGTGAATGATAGATATACACACTCCTCCTACCCTACCGCCATTAAATAAGACACTATAAACACATCTACATCAGGCACAGACCACACAACTATCAGTAGGATATGTATTCGAAACAGAAATCGTGGAGACGCACACACAGCATGCTGTCTTTTCTGGAACCCCCACCCCAAATCAGACAGTTGAGACATCGGGTTCCTGAAGCACACTCAGGCCTGATCAGACTCTCCTGTTTCCACAGCCACCGAGACTCTTCTGTCCCCAGTGGGTGGACAGAATTTAGTCTCTGCCACAGACTCTTCTCTACCACTCTGAATCCTCCTTCTGAGATATTTGGGGGAGGAGAGGGCATTTTGAGTGGGAACGACTTCCCCTTGATCCCAGCAATTTACAATCTAGATACCATCCTCACATTCCCAAGGTTAGATCTCCCGTTACTGGAAACAGGACCTATAAATTCATTCCCTAAGTGCACTGCTGCTCCCAACTTATTTCTCTGGATCTGTCTCTTACCAAAGGGGGAAGAAACGGAGGTATGACTGAGCATACATACATCCTTGTTGTATCAGCTTCCAGTCACTGTAAGAGCTCCAATATCTGTCACCCCATCTGAAAACTGAAAGCCAGCTACCTCCGATCAGCCAGAGAGATTTAGACTGCAACCAGGTCAAACACCTTTTGTATCTTAATGAAAGCTTGGGTCTTAATTCGTTATTTGATGAATTCAGTAAAGAAAAAGTAAGCTTCATCTTTGTAGCATATAGTGCACTCAATTTCAGGAAAAGCGCCAAGTTTTTTACCCCTACCTCAAGAAAAACGAATGCCGATTTTTAAAAACAACAGTATAACAAATCAGCTAATACATTGTAGAAAAGCGTGCATCTTGTTTCTGAAATCGGGATTTTATATGAAAAAAAAAACCCTCACAAAATGTTATATATTTGACTCGAAAATAAAAACCCTTAAAATTATGAGGATAATAACGAGAACACCCTGCACACACCTAGTACAATTACGTAAGAGGCAAAATATAAGCTTACACGGGCGCAAAAATAGAACAAACCATGCCTACAGTAGCCTCTAGCGAAGGACCCGGTATCTTTGCCGGTGTTAAACAGCCACAACAGACGAGCGATGACACAGAAAAACAAACAATCTTCAGAAAAACAAAGCAGTAGCGACAGCCCAAAGCGACTGCCACCCTGGTTGCTCTCAACCCTTTTTTGTGTCACTTTTTAAAAGGACACAATTTTGCTGAAGGGCTGGCTCTTTCTAGCTGCTAACCACGGTGTAAAAGAAACAATGTTAAGTCCGTGTTAAAAGAAAAAAAAACCAAAACATTTATTTGGGAATTGACAAGGAACGCGCGCGCGCGTGCACACATACACACACATACAAATACAACAAAAGTGCTCTAGTTCCCTCTAAAAAATTTGGTCCCCGAAAGACATTACTCAACCAACAGGTCTCAGAAATTTCTGGTCGGCCGGCTGGGACCACAAGCCCGTGTAGGCCGGCCGTGGCCGGTTTCACATTTCTCCTTCCGAAGGTGAAAGAAGCAAGACTTCTGAAAAGCAAAAATCAGGGAGGGAAGTGTCATCCCCGAAGTGTGGCCCAGCCAGGCCGTAATCTCCTGGCATCCCGGGCTAGAATCTGAAGATCCGGGGAAATTTGCTTTGATTTTTATTTTTTAAAATACAGAGGGAAACTCCCGATTTGTAGTGGAAACCTTCTTTTAGTTACTTATTTTCTCCCGGCTCTGAATACAGCCGTCTGAAGTCACTATGGGGATTCTACACAAATCCCCGAGCAGGGATGATGAAGAAACTAAAGCTTTTGATTTTGTTGTTTGGTTTTTAGCAAACTCGAAGGCCATAACACTTCACCTTTTATCCCGATGAAAGTTTTATTCTTTCTCTTTCTTTTTTTCTCTTAAAAAGTATTCTTTAATATCGTAAAAAAAAAAAAACCTCACCGATCTTTTACACAAGACGTTAGCCAGCCACACTGGACTGGAGGTGCCCGAAGCGGTGGGTTGAAGAGCAGAGGCACCGCGGCCTCACTAGGCGCCGGGATGTGAACCCGATTACAGGCCTTGGAACTAGGCTGTTCCTACTCCAGCCTGGGGCTCAACCCCCGCCCCGCCCAATGGGCCCCTCTGCAAGCGGCTTCTGATCAGTTCCAGGACGGTTCCAGGAGCGACCAGACACGTTCTTTCCTTTCTCCGGCAGCGTGGGTTCCGCTACTCCAGCAGCCCAGCGCTTCTAGCCGAAGACAGCGCGGCAGTCGGGGGGAGAAAGTCGAACGCGAGTCCACCGACCTGGAAGAGAAGGCCAAGAGGTCAGCGCGGCCACGGACACCTCGGCCGCACCTTGGCCGGGGACACACTCCCTGCGGTGGTGACTCCGGGACTCCGAGAGGAGAGGAGGCCTGCGGAAAGCGCGGAGGGGCGGCCTCCGGCCAGGAGCGCTCTAAGGCAGAGGCCGCGGTGGGGAAGAGCACCGGAGGAGCAGCGGAGGCGACAAAGTGGAGCCGCAGGAGCCGGGCGGAACGAGGAGGCGCAGAAGGCTCGAGGGCTCTGGCTCAAGAGGCTGTCCCAGAGTGTGTGTTGTCCGGCTGACTGCTGCGGCTGCGACCCGAGCTCGGCTCCTCCACCCCGGGGCCGCTGCCGCACGCCGTGGCTCTCAGAGATCTAGGCGCGAGTGCAGCGCGCCCGTCTTGCTGTCGTGGTCCCAGTAAGAGCAATGCATCATGGCGAGCTCGGGTTGCCGGGCGCAGGCGAACTGCAGGCCGGGCGCGCTGGTGGGCGCGGGAGCCGGGGGAGCGGCGGTGGCCGGGCTGGCGGGGCTGAGCTGGCCCGGGGGTGGCGCCGCAGCCCCGTGGTGTGGTGGAGCTGGCGGGGGTGCGGCGGCTGCGTGCAGATGGTGTGCGTGAGGGTGCGGGTGGGGGTGCGGCGGCGGCGGGGGCGCGGCGGGAGGGCCTCCCAGGCCGTTGTAAGAGTTCACGACGCCCGGAGGCAGCGCCATGCTCTGCACGCGCGAGTACGGCCCGTAGGAGGCGGCGGGGCCCGCCAGCCCCTTGACCACCGCGGCTGCACCGGGGCTCCCCGGGCCGGCGGCTGCAGCGGCGGCTGCAGCTGCTGCCGCGGCCGCCGCCATCTGGCAGGAGGCGTAGGGCATGGGCGAGGGCGGCTGCGGCAGGGGCCAGGAGTTGTTGAGGAAACCCGATTGCAGGTATTTGGGTGGCGCCAGGTAGCCGTAGCCATCGGCCCCCGCGCCCGCCACGCCGCAGCCACCCGCCGCTCCTCCGGACCCGAAGAGCCCCTTGCCCGGCTGGAAGTGAGCGGGCGGCGGCCGGAAGGGCCGCTTCATGCGACGGCGGCGTCGGTAGTTGCCCTTCTCGAACATGTCCTCGCAGGCCGGGTCGAGCGTCCAGTAGTTGCCCTTGCGCTCGCCGCCGCCCTCGCGCGGCACCTTGATGAAGCACTCGTTGAGGCTGAGGTTGTGGCGGATGCTATTCTGCCAACCCTTCTTGTTCTTCTCGTAGAACGGGAACTTGGCGATGATGTACTGGTAGATACCCGACAGGGTGAGCCTCTTCTCGGCGCTCTCGCGGATCGCCATGGCGATGAGCGCCACGTACGAGTACGGGGGCTTCTGCGCCGGGTCCGGCTTCTCGGGTGCTGTCCCGCCACCCTTGCCCGGACTCGGCGGCGGTGCCTCGGGCTCTTTGACTGTGCGCCCGCTCTCCGGGGTCAGCAGGGCCCCCGCGGCGTCCTCGGGCTCCGGGTAGCTGGCCATCATGACAAAAGCCGGAGCACCTCGACCGGGCCGCCCCGGGGCTGTACTCTCCGGCTGCAGGCTCGCCTTGCAGACCCGTGCTGGAGTGTGCGCTCGCGGCCAAGCCACCAACTTCTGCAGGCTGAGGAACCGGAGGCCTCGCGCCGCTCTTGCTCTCTTCTCTTTCCCCCCGGGGAGCGGTCGGCGGGAGTGGAAGTCAGCCTCTGGCCATCGAGAGTCTGCCCAACAGCGAGGGGCTCCGGCCCCGCCGCCCCTCCCCGCCCAGGCCAGTCCCCGCCTCGGTGGGTTTTCTTGGTTGAGCTTTCCCCTCCCCCCACCGTCCGGTTTCCCGAGACGCGACCCGCGTCTCTGGCGCAGCTGCCTCCTGGAGTCCCTAGTGCGCCAGGAGTCTTGCTTCGTTCTGATTCGTATGGGCTCCGCCGAGTTCCGCTTGCGTCAGGGTCCTTCGCCCCTATAGCCGGGCAGCCAGCAGTGCACGGGCGAGTTCATCTCTAAGTCTCTTTTTTTAATCGGCCGGCACTGCTTAGACCGGCCTGCCCCGGCCTCGGGAGCCTAGGGGGCCCCGCCGACAGCCGGGCTCACGCTCTCACGAGTCCTGAAATCTGCGGGTGCTTGCTTTTCGGAAGGCCCGCATGGGGGCTAGCAGCACCCTGTCTGTGTCCCGGCAGCATAATCCCCACGGAGGAGGGGTGATCCAAGCCTCTTGGCAGCTTTCAGGTGACAGAAAACAACCCCTTTGCTCTCTGCCGGGGGCTAGGCTTCTAGCTTGAGGCTTAGGGAGGAGCGAGATGGCCAGGGGGCCGGACCAGGGTGGAGTGGCAGAACTTTGCGGCAGCTGGAGGTAAACCAGCCCAGAAGGCAGAAACTTCGGCCTGCTCTGGGCCGGATTGGGGCCAGGGAGAGGATCGCTGGGAAGAGGAGTACCACTTGCATCGACACTTCCCTCATCTGTGCTGCTGGTGGGTGTAGGTACCAGGCTTCTCCTCGGAATTCGCCTTGCAATCCCACGACTTGGGTGTATGTTTTAAAGACGAAGTAGTGTCCCCAGTACTCCGGCTTGGACACCGACGAGGATGCTGCCGAGGGACTTTGAGGACTGTTGTGTGCACAGATGTCACATGGGGGACGATCTGTGATATATGAAATACTGCGCAAGTGCAAATGTGCTGTTCAGAAACACAGGTATGCTTATGTACAAGGTTTGAGAGTTGAATCTGCTCATTAGTGAGATGAGCAACGTTTGTGGATATAGCATCTTTTATTTTCTATCTTTTTCCTTCCCTACCCCCACAATGGTTACCTGCCTACTCCCCTCCCAGCGTTGGTAATTCTGTCGTTGAAAAGCAGCAGACTGGGGGAGGTGCTTGCCGTGATGGACAGTAGTTTGGTCTTTCTCTAAAGGTTTTGAGATGATAACAGAGGTCTGGTGGGTATTCAGTTACACCCGAAAGAATAGAAAAGGAATGAGAGGAAATCTGCGCCAGCACAAAATCAGGTGTGCCATTTAACTCAGCCTTAACACAAGTCCGCAGTCTTGAAGTGGGAGAGAGGCTAGTATTTCAAATCTCCGAGCTTCCCAGAGGCTTTGTGAAGGGTGGTGGTCTTAATGAATGCCCTGAAGGTGTACCAGTGATTGTCATGTCTAGGTGGCTAGCTCACTGCCTGGTTTTTACTTCTTTCTCTCAGGCTGCTTGGTCTTCAAGAATTCTCCAGAATCCCTAGAGCCCGCAGTGGCCAGTGGCTACAGAATCTGAAGACCACCTACCTACATTGTGTGCTCCCACTTTGAGAAGAAAGGAAAGGAGGGTTTGTGTGTGTGTGTGTGTGTGTGTGTGTGTGAGAGAGAGAGAGAGAGAGAGAGAGAGAGAGAGGGAGGGAGGGAGGGAGGGAGGGAGGGAGGGAGGGGGAGAGAGAGAAAGCTTGAAATCCAGCATCTTGAAGATGACTCCAGAGAGGTCAACAGGGCAAACCTGGCAAACCACCAGGGTGAGAGGGAGTTGGAGTCCTCTTAATTTCCCCGGGAGATACCTAATTCCAGCCCTTATTGAAAATATCCCCAAATGGCTTGGGCGTTTTTCTAGGTTCTCTCTCACTGCCCTGAGCACACGTGGGACAAACAGTGCTTCTCCTGAGCAGGCCTGCAGGTGTTAGTCTTCAACATCAGGTATGCCCAGCTAGGGGTAGGAGTGATAAGTCTGGTTGGTCTGGGCAGGGCCAAAACATCTGGTTTTGGTCCCATTCTGGTGGGGATCACTCCCCCCATTTTTCTTTCTTTCTTTTTTTTTTTGACCACCCAAGCTGACCCTGGGTCCTCCCCCCTCTCCCCCAAATGGCTCCATTTCCGCTGCTCAGCTCCTCAGCAGCCAGGTGTGACAGCATTGTTGTATATGTCATCACTTCCCCGAATTCCTCTGTGGAGCTCCCTTTCAGTCTTTAAGGGGCCGTGTGTGTGTGTGTGTGTGTGTGTGTGTGTGTGTGTGTGTGTGTGTGTGTTTGTTGGGGGTTGGGGGGTGTAGGACAGAGTCTCTGGTTTTTTTGAGTGGAAATGCATTCTTGGAAATTAATTTCTTGCTGTCCTTTGCAGGATCAGCACCCAAATGCCAAGTGGAGACAGGGTGCCTCGTTCGTGCACAAGGCTGGGAAACAGAACTGTAGGCGCCTTGGGGATCACCTCCCGGGCTGAGCTGCGTCTGGCCGGCGGTAAGCAGCCAGAGCTAAGGACTGGAGGAGACTAGGGAGAAGGTGCACTACCGCTGAGCGGGAGGTGGATGCCGCAGGAGCTCCTGGAAGCGGCGGGGTGATCTTTGCTCACTCCTACCCATCTCCTTAGACAGGCTGGGTAGGGCCCTGCGTCTTGGCAAGGGTAGGATTCTCTTCCTCTAGGCCTGTTTGCAGAGGTTGTATAGGCCACCGCGGTTTCTCCGGTTCATTCTGACAAAGCTAGGTGTCCACCTAGTGACCTCCCGCCTGCGTTCACCTCCAGCGGCCATGGTCCTGAGCCAGGCGGAGCTCCTTGTTTTTCTGGCCGGGTTTCCAGGAGCCCTCAACTTCTCCAGCTCCTTGTGCTGCTAGAGAAACGCCAGCAAACGCCATGCTAGGAAGACGCCGGCACAGCAGTCTCTCAGCGAGGCAGCCCCGCGCTCTGCTCTCCGAAGTCTAGACGTGAGCAAGTCGCTGGTCCCTGATGAAAACGTTTCTCTCCCGGGCTGGGCTTCGGGCAGCTGCAGTGCTGGGCAGGCTGAGGTGCTGCGCATGGTTCAGATTGGATGCTCAGCCGACTGTTGGTCTCTCAGGTCCCCCTTTCTTATCGGTCCCTAACAGTCCCAACTTCCTGTCCCCTCGAGCCAGGAGAGACAAACTGGTGAGGCTAACCCTAACCCTGCCTCTGCAGCACATTGAAAAGCAGGCTTCCGTGGGGCTTACCCCTTCCTACCCAACTCCACACTTAGCCGACCTCGAGCCTCCCACCCACATCTCAGGCATCTACATCACTCTGATACACTCACAATGACCCCTGTCCACCTCTCTCCATCAACTCTAAGTCCTCTCCGAGATCACTTGTTGCACATACTAGTTGAGATTCTGCACATTTACGTAAATGTGTGTTAAATTGGCTTTTAGACACTAAGTCTCTTTACACACCAGCAAGCCCTTCCATCTCACGGCTTCCTAGCCGGTTGCTCCATGTGAAGGGGATTCCATTTCGTGAAAACCTGCCGGACTGCGGCTTTGGAGACCTAGTGGTGTTCTCAGGACATTTGCAGACTAGGCAAGGGGACCCTTGGTTTCTGGATTCTGGAGGCTAGACCTGGGCGAGTCCCTCTACAGTGTCTAGGGAGGGACGTTCTAGAATGAAGCAATGGCTTGAAGATACTGCACCTTGACTTGGAAAGTGGGAAGTGTGGAGGATTTGTGGACAGTGAGAGAACAGAATGTGGGATTTTGGAGAGGGTCTTGGGCTGCCAGACAGCCGACCAAGCCCTCTGTGCGGGATCACTTGTTATCGGGTCTGCTCCGTGGAGTTCTTATGTCGGTTTTACACTCTTTGTAGCCCATCCTTCCCCAGGCCCCTTTGTAGACAACTGAGGCCTTGCTGAGCTCTGGTTTTGTGATTGGGCATAATTACTGTCAGGCTGCTGTGGTGGTACAAGCATGCTTTTGTTGGGAGAGGTAATAGTCTGAATTTAGGGTCTTTGGGAGTGGATAATTGAGGATCCTGGTGTGCCAGATTCCCAGTACTTTATAGCTTTGGCATTTCATTTGGTGGAGTGAAGGATCAGTAATACATCTGAACAGAAAAAGGTATTTTATGGCCGATGGAAACTCAAGACCAGAAACATGCAGGGTCTGTGTTAGCCCACAGAGGTACTTGGTGCAGACAGAATGGGGGTCCTTATGCCTGGCCATCTTTTTGTTTTTAAACAGGGTCTCACTGTGTAGTCTGGAAGGCTGGCCTTGGCTAAGATCTGTCTGCCTCTGTCTGTTGAGCACTGGGACTACAGGCCACCACACTGGACATGTCTGTCCCTTACCTGTATCTACCACTGACAGGCTGGGAGCCACTATAGTTGAGCAGATTACAAGGACTCCTGTTAATTCTCAGTAATATCAGCTTGGGAAATTAAGGAACCTTGTATTGCTTCAGAATTTTACATTTTATCATTTTTAATAGTGGCATATTCATTGCAATACAATCTCTGTTCCAAAATTATGCATCTACCAGACAACCAGAACCCCGGTTTTTTATAACATATTTTATGCATATACAAGCACGAACAGCTTTTTTCTCCTGCACACTGTCACTTTCTGTACATGGTAGCAACTAGTGCTCCACATCATGCCCCTTAGAAATCCTTCTGTATCTGTCCCCCTTCCCCCACCCACAGGGTCTCTCTCTTAGCCCAGGCTGCCCTGGAACTTGAGATAATCCTCCTTTAGGCTCATGTCTCTGATTTCAGATATGCATCAGGACACCCCATTTTCTTAGTGCATTTTCCTTACAGAGCTGAGTGGCTGAGCTGGTTCATCTTCAGCATCACCATGATTGGATTTGGAATCACCTAGGAAACACACCTGTGAGCCTGTCTGAATTTCCATCCCAGGGACTGGGGCCCTGGAATGAGTATAAGAGAGGGAGGAAGTTAGAGCACCAGCATCTATCTCATTGCTTCCTGACCATGGGACACAATGTAACCATCTGCCTAGTGATTTTACTGCTGTGTCCTCCCCACCGTGATCGACTTTATCCCTCAAACTATGAATCCAAAGTGGCCTCTCTCTGTCTCTGTCTCTGTCTCTGTCTCTCTGTGTCTCTGTCTCTGTCTCTCTGTGTCTCTGTCTCTGTCTCTGTGTCTCTGTCTCTCTCTCTCTCTCTCTCTCTCTCTCTCTCTCTCTCTCTCTCTCTCTCTCTCTCTCTCTCTCTCTCTCTCTCTCTCTCTCTCTCTCTCTCTCTCTCTCTCTCTCTGTGTGTGTGTGTGGTGCCTGAGGACTCCAGAAGAGAGTGTTAGATTACCTGGAGCTAGAGTTACAGGTAGTTGTGAACTACCCAGTGTGAGTGCTGGAGCAGAACTTGGGTCCCCTGGAAGAACAGTTAAATTAATTTTCTTACTTGCTGAGCCATCTCTCCACCCTCTCTGTGAGATATTTTATCACAGCAACAGAAAATTTAATTAATACAGTGGTGTCTAGATTGTTTCCAAGTCTTTGCTGACACAAGCAATACTTTAGTGTACAATCGTGTGCACTCAACTCTGTAGACAGATCCGCATATTTGAAAGCAAAATTTCTAGCAGTTGGAGTCAAATGGCACAGTTCTAAGTTTGGTAGGTTATATAAAGTTGTATTCCTAGGAAGAACAAATGTGGGCTCCCACCAACAGTGAATTAGATTCCTGTTTCTTCCCCTACTTTAGTACACACTTTAGGGGGTCAGAGGGACTCACCAGGTAGCCCAGTCTGACCTCAAACTTGTGATTTTTCTGTCTTTGCCTCACAAGTGCATGGCACACTACATCTTTCCTCTTCAAGATAGAAATCTTACAGATTGGTTGAGGACACATCTGCATCTCTCTTTGGTTCCTTTCCCCGTGTTTCTCGCCTGGAGTGAACACCTTGGTAAATTTGGTACAGGTAATTCCTGTACCTGTTATGGCATGTGGGTGACACGTGTATGTACTCCTAGGCAGTAATTTAAGTGCTGGGATTTTTGTAGCTTTATATAACTGGCATCCGGTGGTTCTAAGACACACGTGCTTGCTTTTTTTTTCTTTTTATTCAACCATATGTTTGTGAAAAAGTTCCCGGTCGATACACAAAGACTGACGCTGTTCATTACCTCTGTGTGGCACTATTCCATTGTACGAACACGCTGTGGTTTATTTACCCATGTTCCTGTTGAGAGGCAAGGGATCATTTCCTGGTCTTTACTGTTACCCATAGCCCTGCTTTGGGCTTTCTTATACATGGCTGCTACCGTGCATGGGCTGCAGTTTGCCAAGGGTAGGAGTGCTGGGTCGAAGGTGACAGGAATCTGTAAGTTGCCCTGTTACCAGCAAACAGCCTCAGCTGTTGTGAGTGGAGCCTCCATCTTGCCCAAGCCAGCAGGCAAGATGGAGCAGTGGGAGAAGGCTTGAGCTTGGGTTTCAGTGATAGCAGTGACATCCTGGCTCTGTGATGTATTTGCTGGGTGGCTTTGGAATGGTTACAGGGCTTCTCCCTGATTTGGTTCTTGCAAATGTAAATGCAAATGCAAATACAAATTCAAAAGGTAACGGGCTCCCAAGTAGAGAAACTGAGGTACTGTGTGTGAATATTTAGTATAGAGTCTGGCATGGAGGAAGCACAGAAAAATCTCAGCAATTATTATTTGTAAGTATTATATTATGAACAACATCAATAATTGTTTTGAAATATTTAACTATGTGAAGGTGTGTTATGCTTGTTTATGCTTCAGAATAGTACTTTTATTATGTGAAGGTGTGTTACACTTGTTTATGCTTCAGAATATTACTTTTACTATGTGAAGGTGTGTTGCATTTCTTTATGCTGTCTTTAATTATATAAAGGTGTGTTACATTTGTTTATGCTGTATTTAACTATGTAAAGGTGTGTTAAATTTGTTTATGCTGCATTTGTTTAATTATGTAAAGATGTGCTGCTGTTTCACCTTGCCTGCCTAAGGCACCTGATGATTGGTCTAATAAAAAGCTGAATGTCCTATTGCTAGGCAGGAGAGGGGATAGGTGGGGCTGGCAGGCAGGAAAATAAATAGGAGGGGAAGTTTGGGCTCAGGAGAGGATAGAGGGAAGAAAAGAGGAGAGAATGTGGGAGAAAGAAAGGGAGACACCTGGAGCCAGACAGTCAGCTGCCAGCCAACAGATGTGGAGTAGGACATTCAGAAAGAAAAGGTTAAAAACATACAAACAAACAAACCAAGGCAAAATGTAGATGAAGAGAAACAGGTTAATTGAAATTAAAGTTAAAAAAAAGTTAGCCAAAGATGAGCATAAGCTGAGGTAGAGTACTCATAACTAATAAGTCTCCGTGTCTTGATTTGGGAGCTGATTGGTGACCCAAAAGAAAGCCTGGTACAAATAATGATTATTATTAGTATGGCTATGTTCTGCCTGCATTTCTGTTTCTCCGGGGTCTCCCTATGTAGTACAGCAGGCCTGGGACTTATTACATAGCAGAGCTGGCCTTAAACTCCTGATCCCCCTGCCTCAGCCTCTAGAATGCTGGGATATGGTTGTGTACCACTATACTATGTTTGCTTTGCAAGACACTACTTGGATACAATAACAGATATATCTATTACTTCATTTGCAAGAATTTCAAGTTATAGCTCTACAATATAAGCACTTAAGAAAACATAGCTATCATACCACAATTGCAGCTAAAAGCTAAGAGTGGCTTTTTAGGTATAATGTGTATCCATTCAATGTTCATATATGCTCAATTTGGTCAAACGATTTTATAGTTTATTTGAGTCAGTGAATCAAACAAGGCCTATACATTGCACTTGGTTACTGTCTCATCTTTTTTTAGTTATTGAAAACACTCATCTCGTCCTTGTTTTTTTTTTAACATGTGTGTGTGTGTAGGCTGGAGGTCAACCTTGTGTTTAGAAACAGGGTCTTTCACTGGGACCTGGGACATACCAGTTTAGGCTGGCTGACCAGTGAGTCCCAGGGATCCACTTGTCGCTGGGGTTGCAAGCATGTGCCGCTGTGCCTGACTATATTTAAAATATAGAATCTGGCAGTCAAACTAAGGTCCTCATGCTTGCATAGCAAGTACTTCACCAAATGATCCATCACTATAGCCCCCTTTTTCTTGTCATATATCTGTTAAAGGCAGCAGCCAGTTGCTCTGTAGTTCAGCAGGACTGGCTCTTGCTGGCTGCATTCTGGGATCTCCTCTGACCTTGGTAGTTCCTGTACATTCGTAGATGCTATAGTTTAGGTTAGAGATAGCTCCCCAAAGGCCCAGCTGTAGCCCTACTGTGTGATGGTAGAACTTTTAGCAGGCACAGCCTTAATGGTGGAAGGGTGGGGGTTACCTGAGATATATCTTCTATAAACTCATGTGTTTGTACACTTGGTTCAAACAACCTCCCTTTTTAAAGAGGTTATGGAACCTTTCGGAGGCGGAGCCTTCCTGGAGGAAGTACCACATCAATGGGGGCTAGGCTTCGATGGTTTATAGTCTTGTCCCAACAGGGCTAAAGATCATGGGTAGAAACCATCACAACCAGGAGTCAAGTAAACCCTACCTCCTTTAAAGATGGTTTGTCTAGGGTATTCACCGGAATACCTGAGTGTACAGTGAAGAAAGGCTTATATATAGGGCCAGAGGCTCACATAGACCAATTCAGGGATTATGAACACTTCTCATAGTGTGCAGTTCCACAGGGAAGGGGGTGGCAGACACCACCAGTGTCTGAATTATTTTACTTTTATATTTTAACAATCACTGATGATCACTGCCCAGAGACATTATTCATTAGGGATTGCAAAAACGGTGGTAATTTAATTCTATCATTCTCCAGGAATTAACAAAACCATTTCACAAAGAGAAACTTGAAAAGAAGAAGAAAGCCAATAACCACCATTTGGGGCTGTGGATGACAGGCAAGTGGGGCCTTTTTCTTATGTTTATAACAATGACTATTGAGATTCCGAGCAGTCACTTGGGAAATCGCTGATTTCATGGGTTCTGAAAGGTTCGGCACAGTCTTCCACTGAGAAGAAAGGGAAAGAAAGGAATGACTGTTGAACATGCCAACTTCCCATCACACACATTACTGGCTTCTTTGCCGGCATGTGCTGCATGGCTGTTGAGGAATATCTGCCCAGCGGGGCTTCAGGTGACAGGGTGCCACCACCTGCATCAACCCAAGTCCATGTTCTAGTGCTGCAGGTAGGAAGATGACAAAAAGGGCCAGGAAACAAGTGGGGAATGTGGCAGGGAGTTAGTCACCCCCAATGTCTTTCACGTACTAGTGTCCACGTCCAGGGAGATTATCAACCACACACTGGCAGGTGCCAAAGTAGGTACTGTGTGCCCTGGGAGGTGTATGCGAAGGTCTTATTGTGCCTATGATACCCACATGTTCCCTATGGCTTAGCAAGGTGTCCATGTGTCTGGAGGATGGGTGGGTTTGGCCCCTTGGCTGTCTCTGGATATTCACATTCTGGTTGTTCTGCGTGTCTCTATCCTTCTTGTCACCTTGACATAAGGGTGCATTCTTCTGGCTGCCCTCCATGGACATGACAAAGTTAAATTGCTCTCAGGATCTTCCCACATGCTCATTTTAAAAAAAAAGCATTATTAGCATGTGTGTGTATGCATGATGTGTGTGTGGGCACATGTGCCATTGAGCATGTGTGGAGGTCAGATGACAACCTTACGGAGCTGGTTTTCTCTTTGCCCTCTTACGTGTGTTTGGGGGATCAAACAGGTTGTCAGCCTTGCCTGGCAAGCCCCTTTACCTGCTGTGCCAGCTGGCCAGCCAGCTTCCCACCCATACTCAGTCTCACAGTCTCTTGGAAGCCTCATTGGCCCATCCTTTTTTTTTTTATTTAATTTTAAATAGCTTGCTTCACATGTCAATCCCAGTTCCCTCTCCCTCCCCTCCTTCCGCACCCCCCCCACCAACCCCCTCAGCTCCTACCCCTATCCCCACATAGGGAATATTCCACATGGGGGATATCCAGAGTCTGTCATTTCACTCAGGGCAGGGTCCAGGCACTCCCCTAAGAGTCCAAGCTGAGAGATCATCCCTCATATCCATTTGTATGCCAGAGATAAATACTGATCCACTGCCCAGGGCCCCATAGGTGGCCCAGGCCTCCTCA